CGAAAATATGTCGACTTCCCCGTTGCTTTAACTTAACTTTACAATATTATAAAATTTTACAGACTCGTATATAAATAATAGTGTTTCCAGTAAATTATTAAATACTAATAAAGAATGGCAATGTTTTAATGAAGATTGGCAAGATTCAATTGTTTTTTTCTATTGTGTGAATCTCACTCACCGCCTAATTTATAATCTTGTTCAAATAAACTATTTATAGTAGGACGATAGAAAAGAACTATATATAGAAGACTTTGCGGTTGGGTTTTATCTTCAACAATATCTAGTTAGAAATATATTTTCTGTAAAAGCATTTGGTCACGTTCTTTATTATTGATATCTATCTGATTTATTTTTGGTGAAGAAACCTAACTAGTATTCGGTCTACATATATGTAGGTATTTTCATTTTAACAATAAAGGGAATTTCATCATTCAAAATTAAAAGACTAGCTTTTTCTTACATAAAGTATACCTTTATATTATGATCGCTAAATTGTTGAAACACTTCGAGTCAATAATTAATTAAGTAAAACTACGACCCGTGATTCTTTTCTTCCTTTTGTCAACAATCCATACGCGTGAATACGTGATTAGTCAAAGTAAAATGCAAAAAGAAAAAACATCAAAAAACATAAAATCAGGACCATACCAATACCATATTCTCACTATACCAACTTCGATTTCATAAACCCAAATAAGAAAATAAAAACAAAAACTCCACGCTGTATATCCATGTGTGCGTGATACAAGAATAGACTCGACATGCAAAATAAAACTAAATATGACCAAATAATCATATAATATCCTGGAATAAATAAAAATCATAATAGTAACATTTTTTTATAAAATTTCGTATTCATTTTCTCCATCCTCCCCCACATAGTCACATATACCACTCCCTATAAATGCCAAGCAAAATAGCTTTCCTCGATAGTTCCTAAATCATAACTAAACCTTTTCTTCTTCTTCTTCTTCTTCAACCTTTGCTTCAATCTTTCATAACTCTCAACAAAAACCGAACATGGTAGTTTTGCCACAGCCAGTCACTTTAGAAAACCACATCTCCCTAATCCCAACATATAAACCGGTTCCGGTTCTCACTTCCCATTCAATCCCCGTCGTGAACCTAACCGATCCGGAAGCGAAAACCCGAATCGTAAAAGCCTGTGAGGAGTTCGGGTTCTTCAAGGTCGTAAACCACGGAGTCCGACCCGAACTCATGACTCGGTTAGAGCAGGAGGCTATTGGCTTCTTCGCCTTGCCTCAGTCTCTTAAAAACCGGGCTGGTCCGCCTGAACCGTACGGTTATGGTAATAAACGGATTGGACCAAACGGTGACGTTGGTTGGATTGAGTATATCCTCCTCAATGCTAACCCTCAGCTCTCCTCTCCTAAAACCTCCGCCGTTTTCCGTCAAACCCCTCAAATTTTCCGGTAAAATCTATTTTTTTTAATCTCAAAAAACAACGTTACATCACTTATTTTTCACTTCATATACTGTTGAAAAAACAAATCTATTATCTAAAGAAATCATCACTCATTTTCTTTATACATTTCAAGAAACAGAGCACTCTGTTTTTACCACTCTGCTTTATCTCCGTTGAAACCTGACGGTTGTGAGTGTAAATTAAACAGAGAAGCGGTGGAGGAGTACATGAAGGAGATTAAGGAAGTGTCGTACAAGGTGTTGGAGATGGTGGCTGAAGAACTAGGGATAGAGCCAAGAGACACTCTGAGTAAAATGCTGAGAGATGAGAAGAGTGACTCGTGCCTGAGACTAAACCATTATCCGGCGGCGGAGGAAGAGGCGGAGAAGATGGTGAAGGTGGGGTTTGGGGAACACACAGACCCACAAATAATCTCAGTGCTAAGATCTAATAACACGGCGGGTCTTCAAATCTGTGTGAAAGATGGAAGTTGGGTCGCTGTCCCTCCTGATCACTCTTCTTTCTTCATTAATGTTGGAGATGCTCTTCAGGTCCCTTTTCCTCTCTTTTCTCTATTTCTTTACATATAAAAATCTAAAATTGTTTTGATAATTTTATGTATTTAAGATTTGATGGTTTGTGTTTGAGACATTCTCTGCGGTTTATTTGGCTGGTCAAAATTCAAAAACAAAGTATATACATTTTTATCTTAAGATATACTAGTATATTTTATAATTAAAAATTTGGTAAATATTTTTTCAGATAATTTATGAGTTTTTTTGTTGTTGCTAAATTGGGTCAAGGGATGAAGGGAGTAAATGAGATCGGTGTGGATGGTCAACAAAAATTTTCACATGCGATTTCTTCTCGTCTCTTCTCTTTTATCCTTTTTTTATAAACAAAAGAGAATGGGTTTTAAAAGTTCCTTTTTCTTGTGTGTACGTCTAGAAAATCTATGTAGACACTGAGCCTCACGTGACAATTACTATTACACGATGGACATTATGCAACATAATATTCATTTTATAAGTGACGTTTCAAAAACAAGCCAAAAAAGTATTTAGAGAATGTCTTTTATCCTAATTTTGACCCCTACAACATTTCCAAAGTCTAAATTCCCACAACAATACCCGGTGATTGCAGGTTATGACTAACGGGAGGTTCAAGAGTGTTAAACACAGGGTCTTAGCCGATACAAGGAGATCGAGGATTTCAATGATATATTTCGGGGGACCGCCATTGAGCGAGAAGATCGCACCATTGCCATGCCTTGTTCCTGAGCAAGATGATTGGCTTTACAAAGAATTCACTTGGTCTCAATACAAATCTTCTGCTTACAAGTCTAAGCTTGGTGATTATAGACTTGGTCTCTTTGAGAAACAACCTCTTCTCACTCATAAAACCATTGTATGAGAGTAGTCATGATGATCACTATCATCCTTTGTATGATAAAAGTCATAATCACAAAAAAGAAGGAAATGGATAGTGTTTTGGATTAGTTTTTATTTTTGGTATGTTTTTCATTAGGTACAAAAGCATTAGGCTTTGCTTAGAGTTTGACCCAACCAAACCTACCTTTTGTATCTTCTCGTCTTCTTCTTCCTTTTCTTTTTTCCATAATTTGTTTATCTTTCTTGGAAATAACAATGAGTGTTTATTTTCTCTTTATGTTTCATTTAAGTGTTAAATTTTTGTTTTTTTTTCCATTTTCCACATCAGATTTGTCGAAATTCAACTACTACCAATACCGTTCGACTCTCATGTCCGTTTAAAGCTTCTCCAACGTGACACCAAAATATCATTGTTTTTGGGGATTATTGTTTAAAATGCCCTTTTTTGGGAAAAACTTACGAAAATGCCATTTTTTGAATAGTTTACGGATTTTGCCCTTTTTAACACTTAAAAATGTACGTATTTAGGATTTTTTTTTCCAAAAATACGTACTTTATACCAAATACTAAACCCTAAGAACAAATGGAACCGACTAAACCCAAACATAACGAGTGAAACGCATGTTAAATCATATTTTTGGAGCATGAAAAAGGGCAAAATGCATAAACTATTCAAAAAAGGGCAAAATCCACAAATGCCTTTATGAAAAAGGACAAAATCCATAATTTATTCTTGTTTTTTTTGTATGTTTTCACTTTTAATAATATGAATTTTTAATTATAATTAATACTTTAATTTGTACAAAATATCTAAATAAATATTAAAGAAACATACTAAAGTTCAATTAAACATTGAACATAAAATTACAAAACTAAAACAGAAAAAAACAGAAAAACTTAATTTAATAAAATAATTAAACACTTATAGTCTGAATATACTAGTTATGAGAATTTGTACTGTATAATTAATTTTCTATTATTAATCTATCAATTGTAATCTTATATTAAGTAAGTATATAAGGTATATGTTTGGAGAAGCATTTATCAAAAAATATTAAAAAATAAAATGAATCTTAAATTTAATAATATAATAATATATAATATCTTTTTTAGTGTAAAATTTAGTGTTATGGTTGAAGATGAAAAAAAATGGGACATCATAACACCAAATTTTATGTGATTTCAATACAAAAATTTGATGTTGTGATTGAAGTTGTTCTTAGGCTCGATATAGTATCTTTAGTGTTTGACGTGTTTTTTTAGTGATTTGATATTTTGATACATCATTAATGTGTGACTATGTAATCACTAAGGTATATGCTTGGAGAAGCATCATGTATGGAAGGGAGCTTCTCTGTCAACGTCTTGTTAAGAATGTGGGAAATGATTTTGTTTTTCAAAGTTTGGATTGATGAGTGGATTAAAGATGAGGATTAGGGCTGGAGGGCTCCTTTAAGATTGAACTAAGTGAGCATTTTTTTCCTGAGGATATCCATAGAATAAAAAAAATCAGACCGGTCACTGAGTTTGATGATTTTTATTCTTGGAAGCACAATAAAAGTGGTGACTTTTCTGTTAAGTCTGCTTATTGGCTGGCTTCTCAATCTTGCAATCTTCAAGTCAGGCTCCTAGCTGAACAACGTCCTTCTACTAATGAGCTGAAAGCAAAGGTATGGAAGTTTTTTTTTTTTTTTTTGCTAAGTGGTATGGAAGTTGAAAACTAACCCAAAGATTCATGTCTTCATCTGGAAAGCTCTTAATGGGTCGCTACCTGTTGCTAAGGCAATGAAGAATAGAGAGATGAAGGTAGATGAGAGATGTCAGATCTGTGGAGATGATGAGGAATCAGTGAATGATGTTTTATTCACTTGTTTTTTGGCCAGACAAGTGTGGGCTCTTACTGGCATTCCCTCTCCTCAATTGGGTTTTCAAAATGGATCTGTTTTTGCTAATATTCACTATCTCATTGAGAATTTCTCTAATTCTCTTTGGCCGGAGGACCTAAGAAACTCCTTTCCTTGGACTCTTTGGAGAATCTGGAAGAATAGGAATCTTTTATCCATTGAAGGTAAGTGTTTCACTGCTTTAGAATCAGCTCAAAAGTTAATGAGGATGTCTCTGAGTGGTTTGATGCTTGGAAATTGAATGAGGATGGAGTGAAATTGAATGAGGATGGAGTGATGGTGGAACAGAGTGGTGTGGTTAGAAGTGTGAGTGTGAGATGGAAACCGCCACTTGTTGAGTGGTTTAAGTACAATATGGTGTCTCTTGGTCTAACAGGAACAAGCTTGCTGGTTGTGCATGGGTTTTGAGAGATCATTTGGGGGTGGTTCTTCTTCATAGTAGGAGAGCTTTTGCTAGGGTTTTCGATAAGCAAGAGGCTCATTTCAAAGGGCTTCTTTGGGCCATTGAAAGTATGAGAAGTCACAGGGTGGACACTACAAAAAATATCCACATTGATAGCATCTGACGATAGCTCATTTTCCGTAACTGTTATGATAGATGAATTTTATTTTTTGATTATTATATAATAGCACTAAAACAACGCTAAGATATAAAATCACCAAATCAGAAGCGAAAATCACTTATTCCGCCAATACTTACATGAAAATTTCACTTAAGCGCCATAAACTTCAGAAACCAAAATTTTAAGTGTTATAGTTTATAGGGATATCCTAGTTTATAGCCAAAGCCAAAAAAAACTTACTAGCTGTTTACGACAAAAAAAAAAAAAAAAATTCCCCCAAATCGAAACCTAGGTTCTCATCGACTCCGACTCCACCGTGAGCTCGCCGCCGGCCTCATTTCGCATATCTTCATTATCCTTCAGTCTCCAGCTTGGTTCACGAACTCGGTCGATTCCTCCAATGCAGACAACACCAATCTGGACAAGGATCGAGACGGAGTTCGGGACCGAGAACGTGACTGTGACAGGGAGAGAGATAGAGGGCGAGATCGAGACTACAATAGGAATAAAGACAGAGAGCGAGAGCGAGAGAGAGACCATGAGCGTGGTCGTCGTGAACGAGATCGTGAACCGGATATGAGAAATAGAGATAAGGATCAAGAGGAGGAGGCTAAGGCTAGGAAGAAGGTAAGGGTTGAGAAATTGGTTGAGAGAGAGAGGGAGAAGGAACTCGTTTGATATGAAGGTTTATGAGAAGATTTATTTGTTTTTTTTGCCATATTTGTGTTACTTTCTCTAGCTCAATGCTTAGGTTAATTGTTTCTGTAACTTGTCTTCGTTTTATGGTTTTATTGTGATAGGAAACTTGCTGAGAAGGTTGCAGATCTGGATTATATGTCGTGGTTCCTGATGTCTTCCATGGAGATCCATATAATCTGAGAATCAAGATCGACCTTTAACAATGGTATAGTTAAAAGTTTAGTTTTTTCCTGTTGGTTTCATGATCCGTTACTTTTGTTAAAACTTGTTGGTTTCTTGTGTTCATGAGCATCGTGTTATAACTGCTAGTGGTGTTGTGTCTGTCATTGTCTTTGGAGATAGAGAAAAGCGACCATCGATTACTTATCCTGATTTGGCCTTAAACCGTAAGTATGAAGAATCTCTGTTTTACTGAATTTGTTAATGTTTTCGTTGCTTCTTGCCTTATAGTTTGCTTGTCGTGATTACTCACATAATTTCTCTTTTTTTCTTGTATCTTCACGAAGAGTTCTTGCAGTTAGGAGCTGCTCCAATTTTTCCTAATGACTCAGCCCCTTGTGCTGAAAACTTGGCAGATCAGATCCTTGAATTCTCAACTTTTTCGAGTAATGATTTAATTCCTTATATCTGGCTTATTGTAGTTCTCAACTTTTGTTCTATAATGTATAATGTATGCTTTTGTTCAGTCTTGGTGTTGTGATGTGTATGGGAGTGACTGCAGATGCTTATGTCCTCACCTTATTCCCGGTATGTTCCTATTTATTTTTCTCTACTCACAGTCCATTGCTTCAGATGAATATTGTGTTTATTATCTGTTCTATGTTTTAAAACTTATCAGATGAAACATAGAGAACAAGTTCTTGGTTTGATATCAGTTTTTCTCTATGTAGCTGCAGAAGGAGCTTGATGAGTATGAGAAGGAAATGTCACTCGGGGAGGAGCTGCAAGAGTTCTCAGGTTCCTTATCTTTCCTCTACCAAATCTTATATCTCAAGTTTGCGTATCTGTACAAATAGAATTATTAGTTTGAAATAATGCTTAATCACATATTGTTTGTTTTACAATTTGATCAAGCTGTTGATACGAGAGAATGGTTGAGGAGATGGGAGTCAAGTTCAAGGAGAAAGTTGACTATATCGTTTAATATATGATGTTAGTTTTAGTTTGTTTAAGACTAGGCGATAATTTAGTAAAATAGTATAAGACTTAATACAATGTTATGTATGACTTGTTTTTTGTAATGTAATATTACTTGTTGATGATTTATAAAATATAAACGTTATATATATATCTGTCCAATAAGTAAATTTTACAAAATTGGGTTCCAATATAAATTTTATTTTATAAATCAAATTAAATTTATATAGCGAAAGAAAATTTTACGATATTATATAAAACAACACTAAACGTGTGTAATAATAAAGTATATTATAGCATTCGACTAATGCTATAATACAAAAATGCTATCGTAAGTAGGGGTCTACCATAGCATTCGAAAAACGCTATCGTATGTGGGGGTCTACTGTTGGTGTCGGATCCCGCACCAGAAGTCCGCGACCAACCAAAGATTGCCACGTAGTCAAAATAATGGCCCATAAAGGACGAAGCCCAATGGACCCATGAGTCAAAGGAAAGGTCGAAGTGGTCGTCACCACTTCGAGAATCCGAAGTGAATGCACTATGACACAAGTTCGAAGTAGAAGACACGGGTAAGTCGGTTCAAGGACACTTGGGCCAAAAAGGCGAGGCCCGTGAAGATCAGAGTCAACTCAAATTCAAACGTTGAGCATTGAAGTCGAAGAATCAAAACGGACACATTTAAGAAGGAATAATTGTACTTAATTACTCATTTTAATGTTGTTTCCCTATGTATAAATAGAGAGGTCAATGGCTATGTAAAAGGGACCCTTCCTCTGGAGAGAAAAAGAATATAGCAATTTTCGTAACAATTCACAAGTTTTTATACATTCATTTTTGTCCCTCAAGAATAATCTTTCCCACCTAATAGAATACTTGAGTGTGTGAATCCGACATCCACATTTTGGCGCCGTCTGTGGGGAAATTAGGTTCTTGAGTGGTCAGATTTTTTCTTTATCACACTTCCGAGATAAGCAACAATGTCCGGAGGAGACGCCGCTGAGACATCATTGGCCGAAACCCTCAAAGCTATGCAGCAAACCATGTCGGACATATCACAAAAGTTCTCGGATGTGGAAAAGGCCGTCGATACGTTGCAAACATCCCAGGTATCTCTTAGTCAAAACGTCAATACTATACAAACTCGTGTTCGCTCTTTAAGTGCAGGAAACCCGGTGGGAATCCGAAGAGGGATATTCAACTCGCCAAGTTCCGCTGCACGAAATGAAACCAGCGGACAAACAACCCCCGGTGCTACTAATAATGTAGCTCATACGTTGGAGGAAGAGACGCAGCTCGGGGATGAAGAACAACTTGCAGCTCAGTATAAGCAGGAGAACCTCGACCAGTTCGAGACCATGAGGAAGGTTAGCCAGGAATTAAAAGAAATGAAATCAAAATTTCATCAAGCTACAAGTTCAGAGCCAGACATCAATCGAGTCATTGAAGAAGCTAGGCGAACACCTTTCATCTCGCGAATTGCGAGTTTGAGGATCAAAGATTCCCGGAAACTCAAATTGGACCCTTACAGCGGATTGGAGGATCCAAAAAGCTATCTCGCAGCTTTTCTGATCGCTGCAGGAAGAGTCGAATTGGATGAAGCTGATGAGGACGCAGGCTATTGCAAGCTGTTTTCGGAGAATCTATGTGGCCAAGCTCTAATGTGGTTCACCCAATTAGAGCCGGGTTCGATCAGCAATTTCGACGAACTATCGGCCGTATTCTTAAAGCAATACTCCATCCTTATGGATAAAAGCGTTTCGGATGCCGATCTTTGGAACTTAACGCAAGGATCTAATGAGTCACTTCGAGTTTTCATCACCAAATTCAAAGGAGTGCTGTCAAAACTCCCAAGAATCTCACAGCAATCAGCTTTATCTGCCTTACGAAAAGGATTGCGACATGATTCAAGGTTTAAAGAAGACTTAATACTTCATAAACCAGACACAATTCAGGATGCACTCTTCCGCGCGAACAACTGGATGGAGGTAGAGGACGAAAAAGAAAGTTTTGCCAAAAGGAATAAACAAGAAAAGTCGGCGATCACCGTCCCTACCAGGAAGTTCGAGCCTAGGGAGAGCAAGGGACCAAAGAAGTTTGGGTCGCAACCCTTCAACAATACCGTCGGGAAGCAATTCCAAGGGAAAGAAAGATCAAACACTTGGGTCCGTGATGAAAGTCTATATTGCGACATTCATAAAGTAACCGGACATTTAACCAAGGATTGCAGCGTTCTTAAAAAGCACCTCGCAGAGCTTTGGGCTAGTGGCGATCTTTCTAAATTCGATATAAAAGATTTTGTGAAGGAATACCACGAAGCAAAGGAAAACTCCAAAGATCAAGATTCCAAAAGACCAAGGTTATCCAACGAGGAAGAACCAAGAAGATCGAAGGGTAAGATCAATGTGATTCTAGGAGGTTCCAGATTTTGCGGAGATTCAATAAGTTCCATCAAAAAGCATAGACGAAATGTCTTACTCAAAGCAAGCTTGAGCGAAGAAATTGATTTTCAAGGTGCCTCAATATCATTTAACGAAGAAGAAACACGGCATCTCGAAAGACCGCACGATGATGCTCTAGTCATTACCCTTGATGTCGCTAACTTCGAAGTATCAAGGATCCTTATAGATACAGGCAGTTCGGTCGACTTGATCTTTTTAAGTACTCTAGAAAAAATGGGAATCAGCCGAGGAGACATAGTAGGACCCCCATCTCCGTTAGTTGCGTTCACAAGCGAGTCAGCCATGTCTCTCGGAACAATCAAGCTACCGGTCCTTGCCAAGAAGGTATCGAAGATCGTGGACTTTGTTGTCTTCGATAAGCCCGCAGCTTACAATATTATCCTCGGGACTCCCTGGATTTATCGAATGAAAGCAGTCCCCTCTACATATCATCAATGTATCAAATTTCCAACATCAAATGGGGTGGAAACAATTCGGGGAGATCAAGAAGTTTCACGGACGTGTTACTTAGCTAGCCACCGTTTGAAGATCCAATAGCAATTAACAAAGCCCGCAAAAGAAGGACTAAGGCAGAAATTTCTTAGTGGGCAGGAAAAAGAGGATGTGGTAGTCGAAGTGGTATTGGAAGAAGACAAACCAGATCGGAAAATTCGAATTGGAGCAACTTTGACTGGCCAAATAAAAGAAGCTTTGATCGAACTCTTAAGGAAAAACAAAGCATCATTTGCATGGTCAGCAGCGGACATGCCTGGCATAAATCCGAGTGTAATTTGTTATGAACTAAACGTGGATCCAAGCTTCAAACCGGTGAAACAAAAAAGAAGAAAGCTCGGAGTGGAGCGAGCCAAAATAGTAAATGACGAAGTAGATAAACTTTTGAAGATAGGATCCATAAGAGAAGTGCAATACCCGGAATGGATAGCAAACACTGTCGTCGTCAAAAAGAAAAATGGGAAAGATAGGGTTTGCATCGATTTCACATACCTAAATAAAGCATGCCCCAAAGATAGTTTCCCGCTCCCACATATAGATCGCCTTGTAGAGTCCACCGCTGGGAACGAGCTGTTAACATTCATGGACGCTTTTTCGGGTTATAATCAAATAATGATGAACCCCGAAGATCAAGAAAAGACGTCATTCATCACTGATAGAGGTATCTATTGTTACAAGGTAATGCCTTTTGGTTTGAAAAATGCAGGAGCAACTTACCAACGGTTGGTTAACAAGATGTTCCATAATCATCTCGGGAAAACAATGGAAGTCTACATAGATGATATGTTGGTTAAGTCATTAAAGAAAGAGGATCACGTTAAGCATTTAGAGGAATGTTTTGATATTCTCAATAAATATCAAATGAAGCTGAACCCGGCGAAGTGCACATTTGGAGCCCCATCCGGAGAATTTCTTGGCTATATCGTGACAGAAAGAGGGATTGAAGCCAATCCAAATCAAATTAACGCCTTTCTAAATATGCTGTCCCCAAGAAACTTCAAAGAAGTACAACGGTTGACGGGGCGGATTGCGGCTTTGAATCGTTTTGTCTCAAGATCAACAGATAAATCGTTACCCTTCTACCAAATTCTAAAAGGGAACAAAGGATT